CATTTGTTCATAAGCTAGCTTTATAACTGGAAGCTTTTTTCTCTCCATTTTTTCTCCTTTTCTAACATTTGAGATACAATGGGCTATGGAATAATCTCTGAAAAGAGACCAAAGACCCACCACTTTTTCTCCGACTGAAGACCCACTGCTCCTCACGTTTACAGGCATCAGAAACCACAGTATAAGAAATTCATTAATCAAGGGAAAAGGAGGAATGTCTTGTTTATTTTATATTTTAAACAGAAAAGAAATATGAGTTATTGCAACATCTGTCACTAAAAAACCCCAAACCATAGAAATTGAGGTCCAGCTATGGATTTTACTGTATTGCAAAACAAGTTAAAGGTGTGCAAGTGGGAATTCTGTCAGAGAAGACAAGACAAAATGAAACAATTATTCCAACTCAGAGCTGATATGCTCCAAGCTATATGTTTTCCCACAATCACTGTAAATATGAATATTTTTTTTTTTTTTTTTTTTTTTTCCCCTTCCTTCCCCTGTTGTGCTCTATTTTGGGTCATTTAGTCCATACACTTTGATGGAGGGCATCTTTCTCCTCTGAATTTATGAATCAAAATGTATTCTCCAATGGATATCTGGAGGTATAATTTGCCCCCTAACACTCTTCAATCTTTATTGCTGACACATTCAAGGATGCCTAACTCCCACAAGAAAAAAACACATTAATCTTCAAAAATATCTCCTTACCTGCCTTCTGAAAATGAAAATGGATGTTCTTTGAGAAATTATCTGAGTTTTGCTTTAAACCCTGAGGATCATGTACTTTTGGAAACAATTTTGAATCTGAAAAATTTATAAATAAATATACACCGGTATATAAATACAAATCCTGCATGGTGCTAAGTATTTCCTTGGAGGCATGAAGCACTTGGCTTCCCTCAGCAGATGTCAATAGAAATCAAAAGCACTCAGCAGCTTGCTGGATGTAATCTGTGGGATTCCTACACACACTTTTTCTGCATACTGGAGAGAATGACTTTTTTGCTTGATGCCTTTCTAGGTGATACTATACTATGGAAATAGCTCCAAAGCACACACTGTCATCCATCTGTGCTAAATCAGACATCCATTCAATTACTACCAAAGTTAAGAATATAAAATAGCTAGGTTGGGGATCTGAAAGTGGATAGGCAATTCAGAAAAAAAGCTCCAAGATGACCTTTCTGTTTCTACATAATACATGAAAGAAAACAACCCTAAAGAGAGAGAGTGATGCCTTTCACATTACATATTCCTTCTGGTGACTGATGCACAGAACTTTGGAATAGCCTTTGAAGGAGAGGTCACTTAACACACCAGGGAGCATTCCCATCTCCATACCTTCAATTTAACAAGAGACTTAATAAATGCCAGTCACAGTAAAGAAATTTTGAAGACTTGTAGGAATTAAAAAAAAAATTGTCTTCATTTTGAGCTCATGCTATGTAGCTAAAAGAACAAGTAGATGCACAGTTGAGGTTCACCAGAAGCAAATTAATGCATTTCTTTTCTCTTTCTTTTAAATTTTGTTTTATTTTAAAAGTGTCTCCTTAAGAGTTTACTTTTAATTATAAAGTATCACCACAAAAAAAAATTATACTTTATCATTTGATTTGATTTTCATCTTTAAAATTATGAACCTAGATATTTACCTATGTATGATGGTATTTAACTGGATATAAAACCTGAGCTCTCTAGATGGCAAATTTATTTTTTTTTTTTTAACTTTATGGTAAATACCTGCATTTTGATTCTTTGCACTGAAACAAGAGTTTCTGAAGCTATGCCATTGCAACTTTTCTGAAAACGTTGCAGCATGGAAAAATAGTATGACTATACCGTATATGAAAAATGTTTCAGATGTAGTTGTATCTCCACATCTCAGTATCAACTTTTTGACTTGGAAAAAAAAAAAACCACCTCAAGTTGACCAACATTTGCAGTTCCTGGAGCTATGGAATTCCTCAGCAGAAATGCACCTTCCCCACTGCCTCCCCATATAAACCACATGTATGCCTTCATGAGCTACACCCAGTTACCTACAAATACTGCTGACACAAATCCCAGTCAAAAAGGATCGGCTTGAGTTGTTCAACATCCTTCTCTTTTCCAAGAAAACATTTTGAAAAAGCTTGCTCTTCTCTGTTCTCCACTAAGTTCCCAACAAAAAGGTAGGAAGAACCAAGGAGGTAAAAGCATTCCCCTCTCCTGTTCACAAACGCTGTTTCATGTGGTCTTTGTCCCACCATCATTCAGTGCCTCTATCTCTAATTTTTGTCCGCTGATGTTAACACCTGCTAGCAAGGCTTTCACGGGGAACATCATTTCTTTGTCCCATGTCTCTACAATACGCTTCATAGAAGAACATGACAAATAGCCAAAACATTTAAGAACTAGTGAGGTTCACCAGAGAAAATATAATAACAATAAGGCACTCATATCAGCTGTTATCCTACAAAGGAGTAGCACTCCTGGTCACCACCTTTCCAGCATCCTTAAAGGCACTTCTTCAAGCTCGGTGATGTGCAGATACTTTATTCCCTAAGCAGTAGTTAGACAGACACTTCCTTCTCCAGATGTTACTTCTGTCTCTCTCCACCTGAGGGAAACAATTCTCCAATAACTCAATTTCATGAGCTATTTATATAGTACTGAGATTGTGTTGGTACCCAAATTATTAGGCCACTTGTCCCTAAAAGCTGCTATTATGGTTAAAAGTAGAAGTTATACATCTTTGACCATGAATTACTAACTCCACGTATCTAAACAAGGAGACACGACTACGAGTTTCTACACAAGATATACGTAAGCAGGAAGGGGAAAAGCAGCTGAACCCAGAAAGATGACAGAACACAACACAGAACACCTTGTGAAGAAATGGAAAACATACTTCTTCCCAAGATTTTCACCTGACAACACAAAACTGCAGATAACGCTTGGGTTTAGTGTTAAAATTTTACACGGCCCGACATTTTGGCTCATAACACACACAGTATTTTCAGCAACAACAAAAATTACTTTGCAGTTTCAACAAGACTGCAGCGTGCCATCTCACCTTCAAGTAAAGGTATTGAATCGACTATTATTAAAAATCATGAGGAATTCAGATCTCGCTTTCAGGATATACTACCCAGCCACAATATCCGTTCGATTGAGGCCAGGCTTCTTCTATGGAGACAGCATCATTATTTCATGAATCACCAGTGACCTTTGGAAGAAACTAGGAAAAGCAGGCATGTTCATTCCCTTCCATTGATTTTCTAATTTTGAGTAAATTGGTTTAATCTGGGGAATGGTTATCTATTAGGAATAAAAATACCTAAGCTGACTTTAGAAAACAGTATAAAGCCTTTAAACTGCAACAATGAATACAGAAGGGAAACTTGAAGCAAAAGGGTAGTGATTGTATAAATCTTATCTTGGGCATGATTTTGTGGCCAGCCACACAAGTATGAAAGCATTGGAATATCTCTAAACTTAAAAGAGAAGTCTACAGGCCCAGACCTCAAGTTTACTGCACTATGTGTCTAGATATGTGCCTGGTTTACCCGTTAAATGTCCGCTGTTGGAAAAACCTGCAGGAAAAACTACTGACCTGAAGAGGGAAGTGATACGGGCATCATTTTTATCTGGTCAAAATGAGAAATAACGTGCTGAATATTGAGAACATTGATCAGTCCTGAATCTAAACGACTTAGAAGACAAGTTCAGTAAATCAGACCAGACCCGAAACAGCCTGCAAGGAAACAGCTTGGTCATCTCCAGGAACCTAAGAGCACACAGGCCCGTGTAATCAAAGGAAATGGTGATTTACAGAGTAACTCTTCCAGGGTCATCATTATATCGGTGTGTGGATCCCTCATATGCTGACAACTAAACCTTTGTTTTAACAGATTTGGTCTACTTTATTACCTTCTGAAGATGATGATCATATCTAAGCTTTCTTTACTATCAATTTATGTTCTCATAATGTTAGTAATTTATAACAAACATAGATTTTTGGCTGGTAGTTCACTTTAAAACCACGTGCAGACTACCTGTGTCCCTTTACTATTCCTTTTCTGTATTTCCATTTTTTGTCTATGGGATACCCAGTTAACTATTCTCTTAAAGTTCACTCAATAAAAAGTAGAAAAAAACAGAAAATTATTTAAAGCATTAAACTAACAACCTCTTAGCAAGCTAAATGAACAGTTAGGTTTGGGATTTTTTTTACTTCCAAATGCTCAGTTGATAACTCGAGGTTGAATTCCACTTATTCCGGAGATCTTTGTTCTCACCATCCAACACTACATGTCTTGCCTAGAAATTATGCACTACTAGATTTATAAATACTGATCAGAATATGTAACTTCTTATGCCCAAATGAGAAAGAAACAAAACTCTTAAAACATTCCTCAGAGCTGAGCATCTGAATCCCCACGCCTGCAACACTCTGAACCTCTTTTCACATCACAGACTATAGACAAATGTTAAAATGTCAGACTGGCGATCGGAAAATGTTCACTTACCTCACGATCCAACAGTACAGGGGACACCACTGTAACAATATCTCCCTTTTCTGGGTCAATGTAGAACATATTAGGAGATGGTTTGGTAGGGGTCTGTCTGAGGATGTTATACCGCAGAAGAGCATTGTCTGTGCTAGAGTCATCAGCATCAAACGCTGTCATACGCATCACAGTCGTTCCTAAGGGAAAGGTGGACAGACAACAGAATGCCGTCAGCAAGGACACGTAAAATTATATCACCTTCATGCGTGAGAACCAGGTGGGTACAACACATAATTATCTCATCAAGACCACTGAGGAGTTTCACCTGATAGTTTGTACTTGCATTTGTGTTATTTTTACTTGAGACTCGAGCTAAGAACAGAAGACTAGTGTTTATGGTTTGCAGCAGACACATGACTAATATAAATTCCCCATATTTGTGTGCTTTGTTGCCATCCATATTAATTACATCTCACTAAATGAGCTGCAGATGTATCTTTTTCACTTCTGTGGGTAGAAAGTCTACAAGATACTTATGATGAAAACGACAATGCTGAAATAAGAGAAAGGTCTCTCTTCACTTTAAAGTCTTGCACGATTTCAGAATTAGATATTATAATTTCCATTAACATGAAATTTTGTAATGATTAAAGCCTATATTATTCTAATTTCAGTTTGTACAAATTTATGGGCTTATTGTATCAGCCTCGATTAAAAAAAAAAAAACCAACAAAAAACCCACACCAAAACAACAAACCACCTCTATTGCCAGGCTATCCTTCAAGTGACGAAGGGGTTTTTTAACATGAAAATCCTGTAGCATGCAGTTCTGCTGTAGAGCGCAATAAGGTAAATGCTACTGGCTGCACAGACTCTGCATGATGCGCACAGGAAAAACCTCAATTCTTCTTCTATATCACAGTTAATACAGGGAGGACTGAGATGCTGCCAATTCTCTGTTTAGCTAGTGGAACACGTACTCCTGCATCACAGGCTCAAGTCTTTCCTCTCCCTTAGGCACACTAGGCTGACATAGCCTAAAAAATTCTGTCATAGCATTCTTTTCTTTGCTTTGTACAGCACGTTGAGAACTGAAGAAATGAAGTATTTAGTCACCTAGACTGAATTAGCGAGATATTCACCCCCAGCCCACTACAAATTCTGAATCAGTCCATTTGTAGGTATAAATGTAAACGTTATTTTTTAAAAAAACCTAACTGAATGTTATATATCATCATGCCAAAACTGAAGTATTTCTGGTAATACCGACCTGAAAAATAATAAAATCCTGCCAAATAAAGTCCTGATCAAATTAACAGCCTAGTTTCAACGGTGAATCAAAGTTAAGTAACAAATTAATGCAAACAGTATTAGCAAACTTTGTACAAATAAGGAATCTAGGAAGGTGTCTATTCTCTAGATTAAAAATCCCAACTGAAACAATTTATCAAACTCCATCATCTATACAATCTACATTTAAGTAGCTTAGCACTGAAACTATATCTAATCTGTGAACCACAGTGTCAAAGTTAGTTATAATTCTTAGAGATTAATTCTTATGTGGTGGCTAACCCTTTCTTTTCCCCCACAGACTTTCAGGCAAGTATTATTTTAAAATATCATGACCAAAAAAATTTCAAATACATTTCAAATACATTAACAGGTCTGTAAGACCTTATGATGTGTTCTCAGTATCCACATAGCTCTTTGTGGCAAAATAACTACAAGTAATTAAAATGTTCTGGTACAGACAAAGCCCAAGATATTACATTGGAAGTGTCAGCAGGAGAGAAATTCATATTATTCATGTACAATGACAACAACTGCCTGGTTCACTGTTAAACAAACACAACCGGTTTGCTTAGGGTAGGTTTCTTTTTTTCTTTTTTTTTTTCTTTGCCATACTTCCCAGAGTGCAAAGTATTGCCTTTTGTTGTAGTGACCTTGAATATAAAGTCTCAAAGGTTTTGCTTCATTACTACTTCAGGCAGAGTTACCCCTTGAGAAAACAAACTGAGATCTGACAGGATGTTGGTTTTATTCACCAGTGATTAAAGGTCAGACAGCTCAAAAAGAAGCTTACCACTGGATACCATGCTATGTTTTCCAATATTACAAGATAATCCTAGCCCTGAGATTTTCGCCTACTTTGTTTGAGACTTCTTCAGAAGGAAAAAGAGCAGCTTTCTGTTTTGAAGAACGAAGACTCACCATCTTTTCACAAGTACAACACACTGCTATTTTTTTAGATATTTATTGCATTTGAGAAAAATATATTCATATTGGATAATTTGTTTCACAAAGATCTAAGCCACAAGAATTCAGTGAAATAAAGAACAATTAAGGCAAATCTTCAAGGGATTGTAGATAGTGCCCAAGTACAAGAGAAGTCAAATGGGTGTCGGTATGCAACTCTTCTCTGAAAAATGCAATTTCATCGGATGCTATACTCAAGTACATTAGACTACATTTCAAATGAATATACAGTTGCTACCATTATTAATCTATTAGATGGGTTGATACTCAGCAGAGATTTAGAAACCAATTAAAATATATACTGAGGTAGAAATCCTATTTATATAGTTGTCCTAGACAGTTCTACTAAAATATTTCTGATGATAAGACTAAGGAAGGGACACATAGATTTAAGATCTGATGTAAGTCCCCAAATCTCTAGTTACTCTGGCATAAAACTGGTTTAATACAATGGCTGAATCTGATTCTGATTTGCCAGCTGCAGTTCTCTAGCCTTTCAACTCACTGGGCATTCTCTTGTTCTGTGCAATCATCCCTTTGGTGCATACAGATAAGAAATTCCAGCAGCTCAGAAGAGCTGAATTTTACATTCATTTTGCATAGAGATGTTAGCTCCAGGATGAAAGCTCTTGAGAATTAGATCCATTTTCTTCTATGTTGCTCCTGTCAGAAGTTTTGAGATACTGGTTTCTAGCTACCATGAAAGTGGCATTTACATTTAGGTACAAGTTGTTTTATTCTCACAAGTTCACATAACAGATGTAAAAACACACATAAAATTTGGGGTTGTCTTTAGATGTCATTATCCATTAGTACAGTTCATATAAGGTTCTACCTGTTTTCTGTTCATGAACAGAACAGACACCTCTTTAAACATCATCTATATGCTCACACTGCTACGACAACCAGGGGAGTTGCTGAATATCGTGGCTCAAAGGAAACCCTTGCACGGATTTGAATGCTGGTGCCAGACTTCTGCGGGCATGCTGAGAATGGCTCGTCCTCAGTCACACACTCTTTACACTCTTGTGCTCACAAGCAGATTTGCAAACCAACCTGAGTTCAATGCCATCCGTTCATTTCACAGCACAGCAGTACCTACTCTGTATCCTGTTCCATTAAAACTAAGCAAACAGAAACCCCCTCATATACGCAAAGCTAGAATGGGCTGGTATTTGTGGTTGATGCCCCCCCAGATCACAACATAACCAGCAGTTAAAATATATTCCAGGGACCTTTTGGAGAAGTCCAATAGCTGTATTTCCAGGGAAGAGCTTTCCTATCCTAGTTGGGGTGTTCTCAGACAGACCACACATGACCATACATTTGGGACTGGACCACCCCAAAAGGCAAGGTTTATCAAGATCTCTTTCCTGTAGAGGAATACAGTGACACAAATTTTTATTCTAAAAGGCTTTACAGCATACATCCAGTCAAAAGAGTTTAATTCAAGATGCACACTTCCCCAGTATTACTCCTTCATCATAAAGTTTTATTCTTCATAAAAGATTCATTTCCCCAGACCCATAAACTGACTACTTCTAATTCAGTGTCATTTTATAAATACTTCCATTCCTGGCATCAATCAAATGCAGCTGGCTTTCAAACCACAAAACAACAGCTTGCTACATTATCATGTTAAACAATATATATTAACTTATCAAGCTGAGGAAGAAATGTCTGCAAAATCAGCAACTTTATAGTTCTGCCGATGATGCACAGATACTCACTGAGTCAGTCTCTCTCAGTAAAGGTATAGTTATGCTTTGCTGTATTTCAGTACTCATGGTTTATTTGTCACACCTTCTGGGCAGTTTCACTATTACCATAATCACTCAAAACCTCTACTTGCACCTCCCAGAGTTCCTCACTGATCAGACATATATCCCACTAGCCAGGTCATTGCTCCAGAGGCTGCAACTATCCATCTGTTGATTGTTCATTTGGCCTGTAAACTGGCTTGGAAATATTGGCAAAAAAACTCCCCTTGGGCATTAAGAAGTAAAACACAATGCTTGCACAATTTTGTAGTGATTGGAGCAGATGGTTTCTTGGGAAAAAAGCTCTTTCGCATTTTGTTATTTACCTATTAATAACCTTTCTAGTTCTTTCTTTTTTTTTTTTTTTTTTTTTTTTTTTCCAAGAGAATACTGGGAACAGTTCAGCTGATGGATGAGATTATTACTAACCCTACCCTTTTATTTATTTAATTTATTTATTATATTCAGCTGCTGGGTTTACAAAAAAAGGACTGGCACATAATGGAAATAAGGCTTGTTTCCAGCTTGATGAAATGTGAACAAGTGTCTTAAGCCTACAGCCTTAAAAGACAACTCTGAATTTGAGTACTAACATTAAAATATCATCCAGTTTAAAGACTGAACATCTTAACTTTGAGAGCCACAGTGCTCAAAAAGTTCACCCTAGAGTTTTCTCATGTTGTTTTCACTCTTTTTGTGAGTCTCCACTGTATGTTCAGTACATTAAATGTTTTCTACATGTGCTGCAGAAAGGACAGGGTCTACTTTCCTAATTAATGTGACTGGATTGCTGACTTTTGTTTCCACCTTTTTCACAAGTTCAGATGTACCTCTGTACACTGATGATAATCAGATGCACACTGGCATACTTTCAAAAAGTAAAGCTATTTTAATCCAAAACCAAGAATAAATAATGAAAAATTAGCTGAAAAAAAGAAAGAAATCAAGAGGGTTACCTACATCTCTGGAGCACATTACATTTATTACTACAGGAAAAAAAAAAAAAAAAAAAAAGAAACCAACTTTCAGGGAATGGAGCAAAGGATGATACCCTCCTGACTACTATACTCATCGTAACTAATTACATGTTTGACTGTCATTTTGTACTGTAAAGACAACAAGCCCCAGGGAAGCAAAACAAATATAAGAAGAAAGGTCTATTATGGTTCCAATCAAGTGCA